TGTTTAATTAAATTAATTTACAATTAAACATTAAGTAATTCGTAATATTTAATATTATAAAAAATAAATATAATATGAAAATTTTATAATATAATCAGAAAATTATTTATTTATTTATTTAAATTAAAGATTAAAACATAACTTAAAAAAGAAGAATAAAATGACAAAGTTAAAATACAACTAGAGAACCTAAAAAATTAATTAAAGATTACCTCAATAGATGAAGATTTGCAAAACACCATTTCCTAAGAAAATAAAAAAACATAAATTAGGTTAGTATTTATCTATAATTAATTTCAACCCTAATATCTCTAATGGCTTATATAAATAAAATTGAATGTTAATTTTCACAAAAAAAATTTACTTACCCCAATGATTATCTCCTAATGTTTCCTGGAAAACAAATTAAAAATGCAAATAAATTGATGAATAACACAAATTAGTATTTAATCAAATAGGGAGAAACAATGAAAGAGAAAATTAAAAGAGAAGAGATTGAAAAAATATAAACCTAAAATTATATCAATAATGTAATTATAAACATAAAAAATTAATCCAGCAGCATTGAATGGAAGAAAAAGAAGAGGCAATAGTCGGAGGAGAAGAAAAAGAAGAAGAAGAAGAAGAAGAAGAAGAAGAAGAAGAAGAATAAGAAGGAAGACAAGAAGAAATAAGCTGGGTAGAGTGGTGGGGCGGGGGTATATATATGGCAACTTACCCATGTGTGGTTAGTCGGTATTGTTTTCACTGACAAAGATCACATGGGTAAGTGACCGAGAGTGGGAATCCAAAAACAAAAAGTTTTGCAATCGGCGCCCAAATTACTGACCAGCTTCCTGTTGGTATTAATTTGGTGACTTTACCAACAAGATGCAAGTGGGAACTTGATTTTACTGACTAGGAGACATTTCTAGTATGGTCGGTAAAAATTCCACAGCTTCCTCTCCAGATTTCGTCCATTTTGCATAAGTTCCTTTCTAGATTTCGTTTTCATGCCATTTTTTGAATTTATCTAACAAATTTTTTACATTTTAGTGGATATAAATTTTAAAAAAAATTATCAAAATTCCCCCATATATATGATAAAAGATATATTTTTTTTTAAATCTGCATTTGCAATACTACAACTTTGTGATAAAAAATGCAATAATTTGAAATTTATTCAATAGATTTTTTGAAATTTGGTCATTTTAGTTGGTATAAATTCTAAAAAAAATTTGACAGAGTTTCCCCATACATATTATCAAAACCAATTTTTTTTACCTGCATTTGCAATGAGAAACACATATATTCTACAAGTCTAGTATGCTAAAAACAATTATACTGTTTCAACCATAACCATAACCACAGCCACAACTACAACCACAACCACAAAGTATACATGGCAATCACACACCATTGTCTTAAATACCCACGATATTTAGTTAATAATAATTAACCTCCAAAGCAGTCCAAAACTTCATATCTTTTGAAGTATGATCACTGGAGGTCAAGCAAAATAAGAAAGTATATCGTAATGAAAAGCTAACGCTAACAGTTTAAAGTGCTAACAGTTTAAAGTACTAACAGAAATAAAGCCAACCATGCAAAGTGTACAGATAATGTGCATAGCAGAAAAATAAAAAAACTAAGGACCCTGATAATTTGGATCAAAAGTAGGATGGTATGCATCATCATCTTGAGGCAAAAACTGCCGCTACTACTGATATTTAGGAAACATAGGAGAGGTTTGTGTAGAATCAATAGAGTAGGTAAAAGCTGAATTCATGTGAAGACCTGAGCCAGGACCATGTGATGGTTGTGGTGGGGCAACTGGATGATGACCTGCCTAAGGGGAGATGCCATGAGCGGCTAGAGCTGCTGCAACAGATTGTGCAATTGTCTGGCTCATATTATTCTGAGCTTGTGTCATATTGGCCAGCTGCTGTTACATCAGAGCAATTTGTTGGCCTTGTCTTTCTAACTCCTCATGATCTTTTACTTGTGCCTCCTCATAGTCAGACACCATTAGTGCTGCTATTAAGTTTTCTCAAGGTTGTTTCTTCCTGTAAATAAAACCAACCATCTCTGGATTTACTTGGGAGCCAATCCCTGGCATGACATTAAATGAGCAACCTCTAACAGCCTTAACCCATGCGTGGCCACGAACTAGCATCAGAGCCATGACTCTCTGTGCACTCCGCAACATAAGTATCCTGAAAAATAATAGTAATAGTAATAATGTTGTCAAAAGTAGTTTGAAAAGAATCTATAAAAAAAAGTAGACTTTACTAAATAATTTAGATTAATTACATAAATTTTTTTGACACTTATAACTATACATTTTATGCTAATTTATATGTTATATATACCTACATATCGATACTTTGCTTTTTCATTGATCCACGCTAGCTCTTGATCCTTTCCCACCTTTTTTTTAAGGTATGTGTCTCCTTGAATTTCTCTTGATGGGGAGGTTGCACACCACCTCTAGACTCAGTCTATATTTCAAAATATTGATAATGCAATATATTGGTTAGTATAAACTGACACAATTTATTGTTAAATAAAATTTAATATATTAAATTTTTTATTAATTAAGCTTGATTACCATCTGCATCTCATGGATGCCAAAGCTAATGGACCTAATGGTGTGAGTCAACCTTTCCCTAGAGCTCCTATTCTTTGCTCCCCTTGCACTAGGCCTCTTATATTCATCAGAGTCCCAATATGTCAGCAGCGGAGGCCATATATGAGTTGGGATCCAACATGGGACATAGGTTGAGTTCTTGTCCCATTTGAACTTCTCATCCTTGAGATTGTCACTCCATCTATGTTTCATACAATTTAGGAATGCATTTCGCACATGGCGATTATCTGCAGGATCCCACTGGTAAAGTGTCTGCAAAATAAGAAATGAATAACATTAGATGTCTGAGAAATGTAAATTCTAGTTTGGTAATGAAATTATTTATTTTTATTAAAAATTGTTAAATCCATTCACTTTATTAAATTTGCTAAAACTTAATCTTACCTTGAAACAATTATAAATTTCAACAATCTTGCTTTGGGGGACACGCTCGTATGTGAAATACGGGCCATCAAAACGTGACTTCCATAGTGAAGTGATAGCCTGAGGGATGTTTGGATCAGCAAACTAGAGCTTATCATTAGTGAGTTTAACCCATTTCCTGCTCCCTCTATTTTTTGGAGGGCGTATTCCTTTTAAATTCCTACTCCGTCCTTTTTTCCCCGTCGAGGATGAAGGGCCCTCGTTCTCATGATCAGGTGCAAAATTATAATCCATTAATGGATCAATCATTTGTTGTATATCCGGAGCTACGCCACTATCAGTAAATAGCTGTGGGTGATTAAGATTGTGTTGCTCTTGTGATCCTGAGGAGGAAGATCTCTTCCTTGCTGAACCTGTAGGATTTCCAGACATCTTGAAAAATGAATAACAAAATAGTTATTAATACATTTAATACAAATAATGAGTAACAAATTTAGAACAATCATACAATA